GCCAACCTCAACCCTGCACCCCCTTCCCCCCACCACGACATGAGCTAACGAATGTAGCCACAATCTGGAAGGCAATTTAAAATGATCCCACTTCTTTTCAAGAACAAGCAGATTCTTGCTTAGATCCAGTGAGGAACTCAGGAATAATCCTGAGATTGCAAGAGCCTCCAGATTGAAAGAGGACCCCAACATCAAGACTTGTCACCCTCTACCCTTTATGAGGTATCAGGCACACAATACAGTCTGGGGCTAAAGGCTTCCCAGAAGCCTCATGTAACCAAGCTTTAAGTGTAGGGGTTCATAGCACAGCTTCTAGAAGCAAATTTCCAAGGTTCAACCCCTAGATCCACCTCTTCCTGACTTGGTGACCTTTGTGGCAGTAGTTCAGTAACCTGTAAAATGAAGAAAGTACGTTGTATAACTTAAATTCAGGGTAGCATTTTACCATGGTATCTGCTACAAATAAAAAGACGGCAAATGTTATTCATATTACATTGCTACAGAGAAATGAGGCTCAAAGCAAAGAACAGAAGGGAAGACAGAGAAATTCTCATATGGGATGGGATGATCTGACATGATAGTACACCAGTCACCAACGTTTCATGAAAATAATAATGACCGTGGTGATTTTAAACTATGTCCAAAATGTTCTGAATTTTCTCCAATTGGGAGATGAGGTGGGGTCTACTCTTCAGTATCAGTGGACGGGAGTTTTGTGACCACTACTGGTCCTTGCATGTAATGACAGTATTAGGGATTTCACTCAGGACTTTGATCTTGCTATGACTTAAGCCACATTCCCTTCCTTTTACTTCAAATTGTTTTACAAATCAGATCTCACGTGTTTACCTCCATTCAGCATAGCTGGTATTCCAGGTGAACAATATTCCATCTAGCCTCCAGTGACTAACAACAAATGACACTATGGCACTATGCAACTAACAACAAAGGGCACTTTGGCACTATGACACTGTGTATCAGACTTTATGTCTGATCTTTAGACTGAGAAACTTTGGCTTCTATGTAAACAGTTTTCTACCCAGAGCTGCCATGATATGAAAAAACTCAACCTAGCCCAGGCAGAGAAACTACATGGGCAGGCCCTGAATCCACAAGAAGACAGGTGATGCTGGGTCAACCCCTGGTGTTCTACATACAAAATAACCCACCAGATAGAGGATTCCTAAATGTAATTGCAAATAAGCCCTTTATGAATCTCAGGAACTACGGAGAGCTCATGAAATGTACTATTTTAAGCAGTAAGTCTTAGGGCATTTTTGTTAGTCAGAAACATAAAAGAAGAGCATCTGTAACAAGCACATGAGACTGTCCCCTTTCCTGCATCTACTTTTATCCACTGAAAGAGTTAACCATTGTATCATTTCTATTGTTCTCATTTTATAGAGACATAGATTCCAAGCATGAAGTGAATTGTGCAAGGTTGTAGAAAGTGGCAAAGGAAAGTCTCTTTGGAATTCCTGCTTCCTGCTATAGTAATTTTTTCTGCTGTACCACAGCTCACTCCCAGGATAGAGCAGAACCAGAGGGGCAAGAAAACTATATACATCGTGCATCCATCAGCTCTAGTGCAAATCAAAAGGGATCACATGACTTCAAGCACCAAGGCACCCAGAAACTAGGTTTTGACTCAAGCAGCATTGCCCAGGCAACAGAAGTATTTATGAATAAAACAGGCTATTTGAAGGCCACACAATTAGGAGACAATGAAAGGGACCTGTTGTTCCTATCACCAGAAATCTCTGATGACAACCTGGATGTCATTGTAGTGAAGTTTTCAGAAAGACTTGTCAGAAATTGGAGAAGTTTGAGTCCAAGCACTGATGACAGCAATGTCCTTGATTATGTGGTCATATACTCTGACGAGATCTGAAGACAAGCTTCAGCCCTTGTAATGGAAAAGAATCTGAAAGAAGGGAGGCCTATTTTAAGTCCAATGACTGACACTTCTTGTTTGTTCTTTGACTTTTCCACTAAACTCTTACACCAAATGAAGGAGACAGGACATACACTGCTAATGGGTCATCATTTCAATGTGATTACACATGGATAGTAAATCACTTCAAGGTTATACAGCATTCAAACGCCCATATGCAAGCTCTCAACAAGACAAGGGTGCATTGCAGTATGAGTAAAGTTTTAGGGGTATACGAAATAAATGAACAAGAAGCACAAAGCAAAGAACAAATGAGCAACATCTAACTCTCAGGTACAAATTTTTAAAACTAGTAAATAAGTTCTGACAAGAGTAGGTGAAAGGGCTAAATTCCTATATTGCTAAACTGATATTTCAAGGAATACAGGATTAAAGAGAATCATATTAGTCACCTACATTGTACCTTAAACCAAAGGTTTTGAAATCATCTCTATTTCAGTCACCTGGATAGGTTTGTTTAATACTATATTTTTGGCCCTAGTACCAGACTATGATTAAGGAAGTCTGAGTGGATCATAGTTTTGATATGTCCTAATTTGCATCCAAGTATAGAAGCCACCCAGATATGAGATGTCCATTTGTGAACAGAGTAGTACAACTCCAATGTCAGTGGAGACATTAGTGGCTTCACTAATAAAATATGTCCTTTCCAGACTCCGTTGAAGATAGATAATAGCTGAAGGTACTGTGGCAAATAATTTTGCCAATGGTATCTAAAAAGAAGTCAGGTACAAGCTTTACTTTAAATACAAGGACAAATAAGAGTCAAATCTTAATTCATCTAATGGTATTTGGCATTTAAAAAATGTTTTACCATGAAGTATAATACTAATACAACTACTGTAGAATTTCTCTCAAATTCTATTATTCGTCACCAGCACTGAAGTACTAGGAAGCAGAAATTTTGATTTTAATCTACAACTTACAAACAAGGAAATTGAGACACAGAAAGGAGATATCCCATGCTCAAAGCCTCATGTCTATGAGTCTCACAATATGGCCAGGTTTCATTTTATAGCTACCAGCTCCAAAGCTAGTGTGTGGTCTTCTCCCTCCATTATTTTGCAGACCATTCAGGACAAAAGCTCATTTGTGAAATAGCATGGTTACTTGTCTCTAGGCTTGACAAGGAAGGAAGTACCAGCTATGTAGACAACAGTAGGAAGATAATTCTCTCAGCATACACAGCTTACAGGCTCCTTCTGCCTCCTTTATCCCATCTTTTCTCTTTATTTTTTTGACCAACAGCAGAGTCATAAGAATGAAAATACATGGTAACATTTCTTCCTCATTCTATGCCATTCTACCATGTTAGTAGAACTCCCTTCTAAACCAAATACTCTATTCTGAAACTACTACAGTGACATGAAAACAAAGAACCTGAGAGAAATCAAACAAGTCTGCAACAACACAAGACTAGAGATTACTCAAATTAAGATGCCCCTAAGTCAACCCAGATGGAGGAACTTTGCCAGCCTCACTGAGGACCTAGTTCCAAAAGTGTTCAGTAGAGATATTAAGTAATCCAAGGACTGGATGTGTCCAGTATTATGGCAGCATGCTTGCCATATTTCCTTGGGGAGAAAAGATGCAGCACGTACTATCTACTGATGTCTCCATTGCTTTATTTGGAAAACCCAGAAGAAAGAGAGTTTGTTCACCAATGGAATTTCCATGGCCACTAAAGAGCATGGAATAAGGAACTTAGGAGGCAAACTTGTTTACTGAGTTAGTGAGTGGAGTGAATGAATTCGGTTTTAGGACTACTTCTGATTGAGTGAGTGAATAAATGGGGTTTTAGAACCACATCTGCACCCAAGTTCTCAGGGTTTGGTGTAGAACCAATTTATGTTTCCTATCCCCATGACAGTAATTGTAGATCTCTTCCACCTGCCTTTCTCTCTATCCACCTCTCTACCAATAATTATCTAGGCTTAGGAATCCACAGAAATCCTGGACTCTTCAGAGGTTGTCTTGTATATTCCAGTCTACAGTCTCCTTATTTATTGTTGAACTCCCATATTGGATAAATCCTGCATTCTGTGCCACACATTACACTGCAATAACAATGTCACTAATAACTCATCCACATAGACTGATGCCATGGATTACAAGGTGTAACTTCTTCAGGGAGTCTGAAGTCTAATACTGTTTATTCTAAAAGGTGGAATAAAGAAACAACAGGTAATGTTTGTATTTAACTAAAAATAATACCAGTTACCGATATCTGCAAAGGTGCTATGTAAAAAGAACTATTCATGGCTTTGTATGACCATACTACTTAATTTTACAAATACCCGGTGAAGCAATTATTGCATTCTGAGGTTTAGTGGACATGTCACCTGAAATTCATAGAGGTTAGGTAGCCTGCTCAAGTACTCACAGCTGAAATTAAAGGTGGTTAAAAACCAAACATCTTGGTTTTAATTGACATGTTCTAATTCATTGTCACCAGAAAATTGTGTGTTTCCGTGTGTTTTCAGGATACTACGTAAGTACAAATACAGGATTCCAAGGCTGGCAGGAGAAGTACAGTAGGATAGCTCAGTGTCCCAAGTTTCCAAAGTCTCACTAAGAACACCTTGACAGGAAAAATACCAGAGTAAGCCATAAGACATCAAAGAACCATTCTCTGGTTCTGAATTGCAGAGGCTGTTCATACAATAAAGGAAAAATGAGGCTAAGGGGAACTGCTGATAGGACCACAACTTCAGAGGGGCACCATTCACAGCATATTCTAAGTAACAAAGGTCCCCGGATGATATTTGGCCACAGAAACCTTGAACATGGCAAAATCATGGGCAAGGAAACAGGTGGTAGGTTCATCAGTAATTCTCCTTATCTTCTCATCCCACTTTTCAGATGAGAGAACTGAAGCTGGCCCAGTCCATTCAGAACAGCTGGTGACCAACCCGGATCCACACGTAGGCCCAAGCCAAGAATGCCAACATTCCGAAGGCACCTGTCTGCGCTTCCAGGACAATTCTGAGAGGAAGGAGGGAAACAAAGGTGCACATGGACCCCTCTCTGGCCTGGTACTCCTTACCTCGCACTTCTCCACAACCGGCTGTTGCCCACATTCAGAGCTGTTGCCCGCCACGATGCCAGCCCGCAGGTTCTCGCTGTCCCCGGTCCCTTCTTCCATGGAGTAGGTCTTGGAGTGGTTGCCACGGCGGTGGCCCTGGCCACGACCTTGGGCCAGGCTGAGCTGCCTGCGGAGGGCACGGTTCTCCTCCTCCACTTCTCGCACGCGCACCTCCAGGCTCTCTCGCTCCCGCTGGCTGGAGGCTGTGTACCTTGGGCTGTGTGCCTGGGAATCCAGCGGAGACAGGGACACCGGCTTCCCATCTGCAGGTGGAGACACCAGGGAAGAGTGAGCCTGGAAAGAAACCCAGACATACACAGCTACCTACCTCAGACTCCTTCCGCAATCTCATTTTTTTAAGGGAAAGCAGATGGACTGTGAATTAGAAATAAATGCATCCAGATTGAAGTGCGAACAAAGTTGAGAACAGAGTGACTTAATATGGTAATAAAAACTAATATGCTTCTTGGAGAAGTAATATAATTATTCCTAATTAAATGCAGTGTCTTCTTGGTGCCATGTTTCTAGGTAGACGTTCTGAACAATAACACAGTATGAATATGAATGAGAAGGGGGAAACAGGGAAGAAGAGTCTAAGGAAGTAGAACAGAGCAAAAGAGGAGTAGAAAGAAGCAAGTGACATCAGTGACAGTGCACTGAGTTCCTCTTGTAAATTCCTATCCATCCATTCAGGAACTAGACAGAATGAACAAATGGACAGAATGAAGGATGCTGAATGTGGTCAACATCCTTCATGTTCAAGTGTGAAATTATCAGTGAAGCTTCTTGTGATGGGTTGGGGTAGAGGAAGAGGCGGGATGAAGGAGAGTGAGGAAAGCCAGTGTGATCAATGTGTATTATATTCATCTATGGATGTTTTAGTATGAAACTCCCTTGTCCCACTAATTGGTGCTAATAAAAAAAAAGGTTTATAAATAAACTGCCAAAACCTTGTTTTCAAAGCATTAGCTCAGAGGAAATCTATTTTCAGATGCGGGGAAAATATCGTTCAGAATATTCTAGCAGCAATTTGTATGAAGAGTTCAGCAATGTATATACACAGGGCTGTGGACATGTACCCTTATCATACAGTATCTAGTAAACTGCCCAGTATACTAAGTGTTTCCTCTGAAGATCCACAGTTCAGTGGGACAATACCAGGATCTTATCTTGTAGTGACATAGTAGCTGATAATTTCTGGAAGGACTAACAAAGAATAAAAGCATTAAGAGCAACCAAAAGAAAACAGGGCCAGGACCAATCTGTAGGTGTTTGTTTATTTTTGTTTGCTTCAAAGTAAAATCCAACTATTCCCCTTGTATGCAAGCAATCACACAAACCTACAAAAGTAGCCAAGACAGAGAAGCTGTATATGACTTTCAAAGTCACACAACCAGTATGGTGGCATCAGAATTTACAGTTAGCTCTATCTTATGTCTCCTATGAACTACACACTTAAAATGAATTTATAAAACAGGCTATTTCCAATGTCCAAGTCTCAATTTTTCCCTAAACATTTCTTTTGAGACATGGTCTCATTAGCTAAAGCAGTTCAGGCTGGCCACAAACTCAGCATCTTCCTAAGTGCTGGGATTACATATATGCCCTACCATGCTCAGTGTTGCCAATATAAAAACTTCATATACCTAAGATACTAAGCTTGTATACAGTAAGTGCTCAATGTAGACTTATGGTTGAGGAGCTCCAGAGATACAAGGCATACCTGAAGCCGTCAGAATTTTCTGTTTCCACTCTGCAGAAATCCCAGGTTCCAGCCACACTGGAGGCTGCCTCTAAGGCTACTGAGCCCACATTCACAGCTCTAGAAAATTACATTCTCAGTTGTCTGCAAAAATCCCTCCTTCTGTATCTATGGCTAGAGTCTTTCTCCTTCCTCCCTAGACCCTACTGAGCTTCCAAGCTATCCCAGAGTCTCTGTGACTCATAAAACTTGAGGATCAAAGACTGTGATAATTTATACCCTACATGGTTCACCTGAGCTGCCCAAGCTGCTTTGGCCTCTGCCCAGGGCTGTTTGATGTCTCTTTTGGCCATAATGAATGTGGATCCTTTTTTTTTTTTTCGCACCCTTTTTAATCACCTCAGGGTTAAATGCTCAAGCACCTGAGCCTCTCCTATCAATGCAACCAAGAGGACACACTAAATTCTACTGCCCAGGATGGCAAATCAAAGGCACAGGCTGAATCTATAAAGAGATGTGAAATCAAGTTGTTCAGGATAGTATTGTCACAGGGCTGGCCAATTACAAGCTCCTATCCAAGCTTTTGAAGCCTTTCTCCCCATTTAGAACAGTTCTATCAAGAGACTGAAAAAAGGTTACACACCTGATAGCAATGTGTTTACTCAAGAAACGTGGAAGCTGGGAGCAGGCGGGGAAAGCTGAGTACCCAGCTTCCATTAGAGGGTAGAAGGCTCCACTGCAGATGATGCCTGCCTGTGACATGCTAGGTAGGCATATTTAAACCATCTCTACTTTCCCCATTACAAACAAGTAATCCAAAGAGTCTACATGTTAAACTGAGCCGTAGCTGTGTTGCAGCACTACAGAAACAAGCACTCCATGTCTTAGGGAAAGTATTTAGCTTTTCCAGTACCTAGTGTGTTCCTTTCCCTCCCATCCCCTCACCTTCTCTCCCCACCATTTCCATTCCTTTCCATTCCTTTCCTTTCCTTCCCCTCCTTTCCTTTCCTTTCCATTTCCTTTCCTTCTCTATAATATTTTTATTTTCTTTAAGTAGTTAAACAAAGGAGTTGCCATTCAGAGCAGTTACAAATACAGTGCCACTTGATCAATGTCACCCCTTTTAACATTTTCACCCACCCTTGCCACTCCAACTCTTTCCTCATTTCTCTTAATTTTTAGGTTATGTATTTAATTTTTTTTTTGCCATTTAACCAAGCAATTCATGTATAGCATACATCTTGATCTGTGTCATCCCTTAACATCTTCCACCTACTCCTTTATTTTTCCCATGCATTCTTGCCTACATTTTTCTATTCCTGTCCCCATTTATTCTTCTAACCCTCTCCCCATATCCCTCTCCCCCTTGCAAGTACCCATTTCCTGGTACTTATCTCTGTGACCAAGTATCTGAAAGAAATAACCTGACATAGGAAGGATAAACTGTGGGTCACCATTTCAGAGGTGCTGTCCATGGTTGCTTGGTCCAATGCACTTGGGCAGGAAGTCATGGCAGAATGAGGTGGAAGAGCTTTTCACCACCATGCAGAGCAAGAGAAAGGGACCTAGTGCCAGGTATACTCTTCAAGGGCACAAGGCCCAGTGACTGACTTCCTCCAGCTAAGCTACCTCTCCTAAGGTTCCTGCAAGCTAGTGAAATTAGCACCACCAACAGGAGACAAAGCATCACAACAGATGAGGCTGTAGGGAATGGTTCATACTCATGCCTAAACACTCCGATTCAGCACTCAACAGAGTAATCCTCAAATTTCTTCTTTTTCTCTTCCCTCATCCTTTACTCCACTAAGCCTGGAGGCAAGACAAGAACATGCAATAGAGAGATAGGATTCCTTTTTCTTTGTTCTGGTAATCCTTGCTGTTAGATGTGTGGCATATTCATTTATGTGTATAGCGTGCATCTCCCTATCATAAAATGTCTATGTGTGTTGATCTACAGTTCATCCCACTTTGAGTTGAAAATGTCAAACATTATTCAAAACCTTAATTCCCAACATCTTTCTCCTCCCTTCATAACTTCTCAACAAACATGAATTTATCATTGAATTTGAATCTCAGCACCCACTCAAGATGAATGCTCTGAATTAAGAATCAAAACATCGACGATTCAAAACAAAGAGGGAAAATTGAAAATCAACCTCTGTGCAGTGCAATGACAGGGATTAGGGACTTGCCATCCCAAATGTCCTAAGTAATGATCTCAATTTTTGCATGTTCTTCCTCCCCCGCTCCCCCTCCAACTTTTAGCATTATCTATGTGTGAGCAGCCACTTGCAAATGGATAAGATTGCATAGTACATTCACAGACAGGGCCCAGGCTAGAATGAATCTTTTATGCAGGTAGATCAGGCCCTGGTAGTAGTGACAGTGCCATATCTCTTTTTTAAAGTTATTGTTAATTTTTTACTTTTATTTTTTATTGTTGTCAAGGTGATGTACAGAGGGGTTACAGTCAGGTAATAAGAACATTTCTATTTGAACAGTGTCACCTCTTGGTTTTCTCTGTTTTTTTTCCCCCTCCCAAATACCCTCTCCCACAAGTAGTAAAGTTCACTTTCAGTGTGGTCTTTAGTGAGTATCTGTGCTTCATTTGTTCAGGCCCAGAGTTCAGCCCCTACTACTGTCAAAAAAAAAAATCATAATAATAACATGAAACCTCTTTTTTCTATTTCTTGGATTTCATTTCTATAAGTGTCACATCTCTTTAGGAACCCAGCCTATTTTACTCAGGGTCAGAATTCAGGAATGCTGTCCTGCTGCATTTTTCAATGGATGTTACAGAGTCTCCATTCCTAATCTTCATATGTCAAAGTCTCCTCCCATACAATCTGTCACCAAGGCCCGCCAATGTTTCCTTCCTGATAATCGAAGCGCTTGCTCTTCTCATTTCATGTCAAACATTCCATTTCCAAGGCAAGACTAACACAGTGGTTGTCAAAAAAAATTCTTTTTGTAGACATGCAGAGAATATGTTTCACTTTGCAGGTTGTGAGCCGCAGTTTAAGTTCCCAACTCTTTTACCCTAGTCTAAAAACTGCCACAGAATTACATAACCAATTGTTATGGCTGTGTTCTAACAAAGTCAGTTTACAAAACCAGTGGTGAGCCTATCTACCAGTGGTGAGTATCATTTGTGGCCAGTTTGTCAATCACGGGTCTTTGGTTAGTCCTCTCAGCCTGTAATCTGCCTCTAAGCCTGCCCACCTTGGGGTGATACTTTTACTTCTATTTCCAAGACTTTGGCAGTCTGGAAATAGACAAAAGCGACTTGATCTTCTTCAAGGTCATCCATCATGTTCCAAACAAACACTTGGTGAGTTCCTACTGATAGATGGTCAATACTCATATGCTGTGTGTGCCATCTAATCTTCATTTTATCCAATGCTGTAATGAGGTGATTTAACTACTTCTATTGACCAAAGAAAAGAGAAAAAGAGGACATAGACACACGATTTAACTTGTTCAGTATCACTCTAGCAGGGGCCAAGTCTTCAACTCAGAATTCTTATCTCTGATTCAGTAGTTCTTCTGGTACCATACTAG